TGGCAAGCTTTCGGTAAAGCACTTCTTTTTCAATTTGGGTAAGACTGTGCCATTTGGAATGTTGTATTCTGTGTTTTTTTAAATTTACGAAAAGTTCATAATTGCCGTTTCCAACTATACTGCGTCTTAAATCTGTGTGATGAAGTTGTATCACATTGTATATTTTGTCTAAAAGTTCTGGTAATTGATGTGATTTCCAGTTCAGTGCTACCTTAAACCGGTGGTTCATGGACTCACAGTTATTCAATTCGTTTTTCAGAAATTTCAATATACACTTTGTTTTATCAAATTTTATTCTGCACAAAAACAAAGTATTTACCGAAATTTTCTTACTTGACGAACAATAGATTTCTTTGACGAAAGGGAACGGTATGGCAGTAATTCTAAAGATAGGATGGGGTTGAATTTTTTCAATTCGTTTTTCAGAAATTTCAATATACGGTTTGTTTTATCAAATTTTATTCTGCACAAAAACAAAGTATTTACCGAAATTTTCTTACTTGACGAACAATAGATTTCTTTGACGAAAGGGAACGGTATGGCAGTAATTCTAAAGATAGGATGGGGTTGAATTTTTTCAATTCGTTTTTCAGAAATTTCAATATACACTTTGTTTTATCAAATTTTATTCTGCACAAAAACAAAGTATTTACCGAAATTTTCTTACTTAACGAACAATAGATTTCTTTGACGAAAGGGAACGGTATGGCAGTAATTCTAAAGATAGGATGGGGTTGAATTTTTTCAATTCGTTTTTCAGAAATTTCAATATATACTTTGTTTTATCAAATTTTATTCTGCACAAAAACAAAGTATTTACCGAAATTTTCTTACTTGACGAATCTTAAATTGCTATGACGAAAGGGAACGGTATAGCAGTAATTTTAAAGATAGGAAAAGGGGTTGAATTTTTTCAATCTGTTTTTCAGAAATTTCAATATATACTTTGTTTTATCAAATTTTATTCTGCACAAAAACAAAGTATTTACCGAAATTTTCTTACTTGACGAATCTTAAGTTGCTATGACGGAAAGAATCTAAAGGCACCAAGGGGAACGGTATGGCAGTAATTCTAAAAGTAGCAAATGGAGTTGAATTTTGCTATCCGTTTTTCAGAAATTTCAATATATACTTTGTTTTATCAAATTTTATTCTGCACAAAAACAAAGTATTTACCGAAATTTTCTTACTTAACGAATCTTAAGTTGCTATGACGGAAAGAATCTAAAGGCACCAAGGGGAACGGTATGGCAGTAATTCTAAAAGTAGCAAATGGAGTTGAATTTTGCTATCCGTTTTTCAGAAATTTCAATATATACTTTGTTTTATCAAATTTTATTCTGCACAAAAACAAAGTATTTACCGAAATTTTCTTACTTGACGAATCTTAATCAGAACAAAAATGTATACTCAGCACAGTGAAAAAAAGTCTGTAGAGCTGTCATTTGGTTATTTGTGTCGTTAGGTTGCTTGTTACTGACATATAATACATCTTCTCAATTTATTTATTTGTATTTTATTAGCCTGATTAATGGATAATCAAAATTTGAAATAAAAAATGGATATTGAAATGAAATTAATTATTTTAACAAATAATTTCTGAAATTTACTTTCTGCTATGTATGTGTTAACTGAATTCACACATAAATGGTTAATATATATAATTGACAAAATCATATATCATTTCGAAAATTTTAACATTCGCAATATCAAAATTTAGACTTTTCAAATAATTGAAAAGAAACACTTGCAATAGCAAGTAGATATTTTGCATATTAACTATTCAAATAATTATACGAAAAGAAATAAATACCGTATAAAGAATCATCTACGCTAAGTAGCTTGTTAATTAGATTCATCATATATTGAGATGATTGATAAAAAAAAGAAGGAGTTCAGTTTCCTTAAAGCAATGCTGATGAAAATAAAATATTTAATTTAAAATTTATAAATTGCTTTCAAATTAAACATAATTTTAAACAAACTTGAAAAAAGTAGACCTGTTGAAGTCTAGATAGACTTGACACGTAGTTGTATTGAGAGTGATTCATGTTGAATTTGTATAGCTTTGAATGTTTCAGTGAAGAACTCTCTTATTTATATTATTTTATTTCTGATAAGATTTTGAGTAAAATGGTTTATATTTCTCATTTTTTTAACTTCAATAGACGACGTCTTTGATCGCCGCTTGTAAGATCTATATTTAGAAAACTTGTATATTTTGCATATGTCTGAAGTCTTTTTTGTGTGTTTTTTTAAATAAATTAATACATATAATTGTTTTTTCAACAATGTTATTGTTTTTAAAGACGGTCTTTGAACACTGATAATTAACTGTAAGAATATATAACGCTTTGTTCATCCCAAGCGCAATCAAGTACTCGTTATACATAACTTATTAATTGTGTGAAATTGAAATCTTTACAAACAGTGTTAGCTTAATTTTTTCTCTCCGGTTTAATGTCCAGTCTTTTTTATATGTTCATGTTTTCTCAATACTTTTCAATATATAATTATAGGTGTACTAACATCTTATCGAAAATGGCCGTACTCTTATACATATCCGTACCGGTTACGGAACACGGTTTCGTAAATCTTCAACTTTATACCGATTTAACTCACGTATTTTAATAAAAAAACAATATTTTTTTCGTGAGAAATGCCTTTTCCCCCATTTGATAAACAATTTCAGGTCCTTTGTGCACTTATCATACTCCTTTGTGGTCCTTTGTGCTCCTTTGTGCACAAAGGAGGTCCTTTGCGGTGTTTTTAGAGACCGGATTTTTGCCGTTCGCTAAACTGCCAGTCAAATTTGCTTTACTAAAATAGGAATGTAGGACAGAAAGTCACAGGACACTTGAAAAGTCACGGACAAAAAGTCACAGGACAAAAAGTCACAATTCAGTTTTGAGATTTTTTTCTTTAAACAAGAAAACACTAATTTAAAAAATAAAATTTTCTTGAACTATTATATACGAAGCAACTTTGTAATTAACATTTATTCAATAAATATCAATAATGATCAAATAATTGTTATGAAAACAAAATGTCAAAGTGGCTTGGTACATAAATGGCTTCATTGTGCCAAGAAATATATCATTTGCATGATTAAAATTTAATAATTTTTCACTTATCAAGGCTTATGAACAATTTCCTAAACTTAAAAATGAATAAATGTAAAAAAAGAAATTATTTGAACATCTGTCTCTTATATATTCAAACAATTGTCAACAAATTATTTGTGACTTTTTGTCCTGTGACTTTTTGTCCTATCAAATTTGTGACTTTATGTCCTGTGACTTTTTGTCCTGTGACTTTCTGTCCGTTTACCTAAAATAGGTGTCTTGTATCTCTTTTGGACCCCACAATTCATCTTTTGGGTTTGTGTGGCTAAAAAAAGAGGGGGGTTGGGGGGCTTTCGTTTAGGTCAAAGAATTTGTTCCCATCTTGATTCAAAAACCTTATTCATTTTTTAAAACAACCCAAAAACATTTTTTATTCAAATTTGAGTGTTGAATTTTATAATTTTTTTATCAAAAATAAATATTTGTAATAACTCCTTCCTGAAAAGAAAAAAATGTTTAGATCTATATTATGCATGTCTGTTTGAGAACCATTTCATAAGACCGATGATTTCTATAGAAATCATTGATGGGACCCATTATAAATACATTTTTTTTATTATTCCTGGAGTATATAATAATTTTCTTTTAATCTTTGGGAATGATTCAATTTGTTTTTATGTTTAAATAATTAACTTCATAATTTTGATGAAGAAAATCCATTTCAATTCAATTTTTTTTCATCAAAATGATGATTTTCATTTTCATCTATCAACAAACTTTTTAAATTGTAGTGGCATGGTCGGTCAACTGATAAGTTGTATGGCTGATTACAGGTAAAGCAATAACTTCTATTTGACAGTTGCGTGTACTCTGGGGTGTGGAATACCTTAATTTTATGGGGAACATCCTGTCCATGTGTAATACTTAATATATTCCAACAGATGACATTACACAAATTTTTATTCTGTTAAATGAATGATTTGTATATCATCATAATTTGATATTTATATAAACCACATTTTGGTATAATAATTATTTACCATATCAACATTGAATATTTTGAATGTAGAATGAAATATGTTTACAGTATGATTGGTTTGAATCATTTAATTTATAAGATTTAGGAATCAAAATTTGTAATTATTTAAAAACCCACATTGAAATTGTTTAATATCAACACACCCACATTTGAATTATTTTATACTTTAGATTTCATAGCCATATTTGCATTTGTAAAAATATTTATATACCCAAAATTTCAATTTCTTCATGTACTTTACATGCCCAACTTTTATTTTTGTTGTAAAGAAGTGTAACTTGAAACAACAGTATATCACCAGAGACATATAATACGTATGTCTCTGATATCATATAAAGAGAAATAAAGATTAAAGTTATATCATGAATATTGGTCATGATTTGTAAAACTCAGAACTGTCAAGTAAATTTAAGACACCATTCAAAATGTTCAGAATATGTCAAGCCATACTGAGAAAAAATAAGAATGTCGAGAATATGTCGAGAAATTTCAAGACAGTATTCAAATGTCAAGAATTTGTCAAGAAATTTTAAGACCATATTCAGAATGTCGAGAATATGTCGAGTAAATTTCATACAAATTTAATATAAATGAGAATTTGTCAAGAAAAATTAAGACACAAGTCATACTTTTGGAGAATGTCGAGTAAAAGTTCATGCAATTTAAGACAAAAACTGGTCTTTTCAGACTTTTAGACTTTTGTAGTGCTATGATGTGTCAAATATTTAATCACAATCCAAATTCAGAGCTGTATCAAGTTTAAATGTAGTGTCCATACTTGCCCCAACTCTTCAGGGTTCGACATCTGCGGTCGTATCAAGTTGCGACCTGCGGAGCATTTTATTACAGGCATATAATTTAGAATTGGACACTTGTATGTTCTGTTTATTATTTATTACAATAAATTAAAATACATTATAATTAAGCATGATAGATATCTGAGCAAAGCCTTTGAAGTGATGTAGAGTAGCTGTAGTATGGCAAACTATTCCTTTCTAAAGTTTAGTAGGCATATAGACAATAATAATATCAATAGAACTTGTATACATTTTAACAAAGCAAAGGATGTATACAGCCCATTTGAAACATGTAACATGCATATGCTATCCCAGTTTTGGGATTTTTTAGTCAACAATAACAAATGTACGTTATTTTTCTCTAATAACTTATTTAAGTTAGACCCTTGACTGTTATATTTATAAATATAAATATGTAATCATGCTTTGAAAAATTTTAGGTTCAGTTACACTTACATGTAACACAAAATTTTACATATATACGCATGAATAAAAAAGTGTTGTGGGTATTCGTCAATTAGACAGCCGCCCAATGACTAAAATCTCCAACAGACATCCAGAGGGTAAGATAGTCTCAGATTACTTCAAAGATGGACAGGTGTTTATACAATATGCAAAACTCTATAAAAGTTTTAAATAAATTTACTTTGTGTCAACTATAAAATAAATAGTCAGTGTGATCCTTAAAAGCACCTTTAATTTTAATATAACTTTGTAAGAATGAATACTTTTTAATATTTTGGAATAAAGTTTTATATTAAATTATCATTTTTTACATTTAGCGCTGCCAAATGTACTGTAAGTGAGTAAAACTTGCATATTCAAAAGTCAGCATTAAGACATTTTTTTTTTAGATTGCTAAATTAAAAAGATTAGAAAAAATATGAAATACGAAAAGAAGAGATGTATAAAAACTGGAGTTTTCATCAATGCCACAGTAATGTGCATTATTTTTTTACATACAGGAAAATTTACGTATGTGCTTTTTCTTTCAGGAAAATGTATTCACTAGTGAATCGATGGTTTAAAACTACCAGGATGTAATGAGAGATGACTTGACTCAAGCTAGCGAACAATTGTAGCGAACAATTAGCCAGCGAACAATTAGGAGGTATAACTAAAAACCACAATTTCACATAAGACAATCACGTTTTTTTCGAGCTAGCGAACAATTACAGAGACCTAGTGGACAATTATGAGAATATTATTCAAAATATTAAACAAAAACGAATAAAAAAAATAAAACAAAAGGGATACCATAAAGATTTTGACCAATTTATAGAGATTGTCACAGGCAACGACTGTAAATGTAACATAGAGGAGACATTATCGTATCTAATAAGACAAACCCCAGAATGGTTTATGTTTAAAAATCTGAAGTTAAGTTTAAAAAACTGAAATTTTAAAAACGAAAAGGGTTGAGGGGGCATACATTAAGTTGATTTTTGACCCATTTATAGAGATTGTGACGGTACACGACTGCATTATAGGTGATACATTAGCGTATCTATTAGGACAAACTCCAGATTGGTTCATGTTAAAAAATCTGAAGTTAGGTTGAAAAAAATGTAATTAAAAACGAAAAGGGGGGATACCTTAAGTTGATTGTTGACCCATTTATAGAGATTGTGACGGGCAACGACTGCCTATAGGTGATGTAGAGGAGACATTGGCGCAACGTTTAGGAAAATTTCCAGAGTGGTTTATGTTCGAAAATCTGAATTTATAATTTAAAAAATGGAAAATGTGAGATTGACAAAATGAGATTAGGGGGTAGGCCAATTTAAGTTACTTTTGGACCAATTTGAAGAGATTGTAACGGGCAACGACTATACATGTGATGTAGAGGACACATTGGTGCATCGTTTAGGAAAATCTCATGAGTGGTTTATGTTCGAAAATATGAAGTTACGGTTAAAAAACTGAAACTTTTATTGTGAAATTGACAAAATGAGATTAGGGGGGTAGGGCACTAAAAGAAAAATTTGGACCATTTTAAAGAGATTGTGACGGGCAACGACTATATAGGTGTTGTAGAGGAAACATTGGCGCATCGTTTAAGAAAATCTTCAGAGTGGTTTATGTTCGAAAATCTGAAGTTACGGTTAAAAAACTGAAATTGTGAAATTGACAAAATGAGATTAGGGGGTAGGCCAATTTAAGTAAATTTTAGACCAATTTCAAGAGATTGTGACGGGCAACGACTATAAAGGTGTTGTAGAGGAGACATAGGCGCATCGTTTAGGAAAATATTCAGAGTGGTTTATGTTCGAAAATCTGAAGTTACGGTTAAAATACTGAAAATTTTATTGTGAAATTGACAAAATGAGATTAGGGGGGTAGGGCACTTAAAGAAAATTTTAGACCAATTTCAAGGGATTGTGACGGGCAACGACTATGTAGGTGTTGTAGAGGAGACATTGGCGCATCGTATAAGAAAATATCCAGAGTGGTTTATGTTCGAAAATCTGAAGTTACGGTTAAAAAACTGAAATTGTGAAATTGACAAAATGAGATTAGGGGGTAGGCCAATTTAAGTTAATTTTGGACCAATTTCAAGAGATTGTGACAAGCAACGACTATATAGGTGTTGTAGAGGAGACAATGGCGCATCGTTTAAGAAAATCTCCAGAGTGGTTTCTGTTCGAAAATCTGAAGTTACGGTTAAAAAACTGAAAATGTTATTGTGAAATTGACAAAATGAGATTAGGGGGGTAGGCCAATTTCAGTTAATTTTGGACCAATTTTAAGAGATTGTGACGGGCAACGACTATATATGTGTTGTAGAGGACACATTGGCGCATCGTTTAGAAAAATCTCCAGAGTGGTTTATGTTCGAAAATCTGAAGTTACGGTTAAAAAACTGAAATTGTGAAATTGACAAAATGAGATTAGGGGGTAGGCCAATTTAAGTTAAATTTGGACCAATTTGAAGAGATTGTGACGGGCAACGACTATATAGGTGTTGTAGAGGAGACATTGGCGCATTGTATTAGAAAATCTCCAGAGTGGTTTATGTTCGAAAATCTGAAGTTACGGTTAAAAAACTGAAAATTTTATTGTGAAATTGACAAAATGAGATTAGGGGGGGTAGGGCACTAAAAGAAAAGTTTGGACCAATTTCAAGAGATTGTGACGGGCACCGACTATATAGGTGTTGTAGAGGAGACATTGGCGCATCGTATTAGAAAATCTCCAGAGTGGTTTATGTTCGAAAATCTGAAGTTACGGTTAAAAAACTGAAAATGTTATTGTGAAATTGACAAAATGAGATTAGGGGGGTAGGACACTAACAGAAAAATTTGGACCATTTTAAAGAGATTGTGACGAGCAACGACTATATATATTGTAGAGGAGACATTGGTGCATCGTTTAAGAAAACATCCAGAGTGGTTTATGTTCGAAAATCTGAAGTTACGGTTAAAAAACTGAAATTGTGAAATTGACAAAATGGGATTAGAGGGGTAGATCAATTTAAATTAATTTTGGCCCAATTTTAAGAGATTGTGACGGGCAACGACTGTATAGGTGTTGTAGAGGAGACAATGGCGCATCGTTTAAGAAAATCCAGAGTGGTTTATGTTCGAAAATCTGAAGTTACGGTTAAAAAACTGAAAATTTTATTGTGAAATTGACAAAATGAGATTAGGGGGATAGGGCACTAAAAGAAAAATTTGGACCAATTTCAAGAGATTGTGACGGGCAACGACTACATAGGTGTTGTAGAGGAGACATTGGCGCATCGTATTAGAAATCTCCAGAGTGGTTTATGTTCGAAAATCTGAAGTTACGGTTAAAAAAACTGAAACTTTTATTGTGAAATTGACAAAATGAGATTATGGGGGTAGGGCACTTAAAGAAAAATTTGGACCATTTTAAAAAGATTGTGACGGGCAACGACTATATAGGTGTTGTAGAGGAAAGATTGGCGCATCGTTTAAGAAAATCTCCAGGATGGTTTATGTTCGAAAATCTGAAGTTACGGTTAAAAAACTGAAATTGTGAAATTGACAAAATGAGATTAGGGGATAGGCCAATTTAAGTAAATTTTAGACAAATTTCAAGAGATTGTGACGGGCAACGACTATATAGGTGTTGTAGAGGAGACATTGGCGCATCGTTGAGGAAAATATCCAGAGTGGTTTATGTTCGAAAATCTGAAGTTACGGTTAAAAAACTGAAACTTTTTGTTGTGAAATTGACAAAATGAGATTAGGGGGGTAGGCCAATTTCAGTTAATTTTGGACCAATTTTAAGAGAATGTGACGGGCAACGACTATATAGGTGTTGTAGAGGACACATTGGCGCATCGTTTAGAAAAATCTCCAGAGTGGTTTATGTTCGAAAATCTGAAGTAAAGGTTAAAAAACTGAAATTGTGAAATTGACAAAATGAGATTAGGGGGTAGGCCAATTTAAGTTAAATTCGGACCAATTTCAAGAGATTGTGACGGACAACGACTATATAGGTGTTGTAGAGGAGACATTGGCGCATCGTATTAGAAAATGTCCAGAGTGGTTTATGTTCGAAAATCTGGAGTTACGGTTAAAAAACTGAAAATTTTATTGTGAAATTGACAAAATGAGATTAGGGGGTAGGGCACTAAAAGAAAAATTTGGACCATTTTAAAGAGATTGTGACGGGCAACGACTGTATAGGTGTTGTAGACGAGACATTGGCGCAAATTTTAAGAACATCTCCAGAGTGGTTTATGTTCGAAAATCTGAAGTTACGGTTAAAAAACTGAAAATTTTATTGTGAAATTGACAAAATGAGATTAGGGGGATAAAGCACTAAAAGATCAATTTGAACCATTTTAAAGAGATTGTGACGGGCAACGACTATATAGGTGTTGTAGACGAGACATTGGCGCATCGTTTAAGAAAATCTCCAGAGTGGTTTATGTTCGAAAATCTGAAGTTACGGTTAAAAAAACTGGAACTTTTATTGTGAAATTGACAAAATGAGATCAGGGGGTAGGGCACTAAAAGAAAATTTTAGACCAATTTCAAGAGATTGTGACGTGCAACGACTATGTAGGTGTTGTAGAGGAGACATTGGCGCATCGTATAAGAAAATATCCAGAGTGGTTTATGTTCGAAATTCTGAAGTTACGGTTAAAAAACTGAAATTGTGAAATTGACAAAATGAGATTAGGGGGGTTGGGCAATTTAAGTTAATTTTGGACCAATTTCAAGAGATTATAACGGGCAACGACTATATAGGTGTTGTAGAGGAGACATTGGCGCATCGTTTGGTGCCTGTACCATATCAGACTTTCTTGTCTCACTGTGGTTTAGTTAATTTTGGTTATTTTCTTCAAGTAAGCTTTGTCTGTGTGAATTTTCATTGAAATCCATATATATTCAGGAAGCATAGCAGATGCAGTTTTACAAGAGGAAGTATGTTAGTAAGGTAATTATATATATAAATGACACATGTTGAATAAAATTAAAAAATGTGTATGTATCCAAAAAAATGCCCCTGAAAGATATTTGATAGTTTTCAATATATGGTTATGATTGTTTATTGTTGTAGTTCAGTGTTTCTGTTGTTCCGTTGTTTTCCTCTTATAGTTGATGTGTTTCCCTCAGTTTTAGTTTGGTACTCGGATTTGTTTTTCCTTAATCGAATTATGACTATTGAACAGCGGTAAACTTCTGTTGCCTTTATTTATTGGCTGCTTTAAATCCAGTTGGAACTATTTATGCAATATTTAGGATCAAAATAATGAGTGAGGTGAATATTTCTTGCTTTGTACTAAAACAACATCCTAAGTAAGATAGTTATATTGCTATACATGTAGATCGAAATGTATTAAATTATTCCCTTAAAATACCTGTCATCCCATTCATATGCATTTTTCTATCTGAGCAAAACACTCTTTCCTTTTGCTCCTAAAAGCTGTAATGCACTTAAACATCTTTAGCCTGACTAGAAGTGGTTGAACTAATTACACACCCCTAATTATTATGAGCATGCCAATCACAATACGACATCACCTTGGTCTCGTTGGAACTCTTTAAATTCCCCCTACAAAAGAAGAGTTCTGCTTGCATGCCAAAAGACTAACAAGGGGATATGGGGTTTCATCAACAATAAATACTTCTGTGATTTTTTTAAAAAGTTCATGGGAATTTACAATTCATTTCATCAAAAAGATAGATAGGTCTATGCCTGTGGAAACAAGGATCGGGTGTGACGATGGCTCTAAAAAATATTGATGTGTTTGTGCAGGGACTTTCTATTTGTTATTATAGAAAGTCCCTGGTTTGTGGTCATCTAACGAAAGATTTTTAATTTTTACATCCTAGAACAGGTCTTTAAAGGTAAAACGAGAAGCATTTCGGATAACTGTGTGTTCAATAACTACTTGTCCACGGTAAATTATGAGCTGACACAACTGCATGTTGGCATCCAGATTTTTATCCTTTTATTTACAAATCGATTTAAAATGATAGGAGCATTATATGTAATAGAAAAGCGTCTATGTGAAAAAAAAATTTCAAGGAGAAACTAATTTTGGAGCGACATGCGGAGCAAAAATTTGCGGAACCGGTATTTTTTTTTTATTGAAAAGTCAATTTTTCCAAAACAGGAGCGGGAAAATCCAAAGAACTATTAATCACATTGGTATGGCCTTACACTAAAGTTGTCTGCGAACCAATTTATTTTCCATGAACCAGTAAAACTGACCTTTTTTGGCCCCTAATTACAACACCGCAAAAGGACAATAGCCCCCCAAAACAATCCCAACCATCCTTTAGTGGTATGGAACTATATGCTTAAATTTCACAGAGATCCATGAACTTATACTCAAGTTATTGTCTGCGAATTAAAATGTCTTCAGACACACTGACGCAGACAACACCATAACATAATACTCAGTGACCGCAAATAAATTTGCGGTCGTATAAAAATAAGAAGATGTGGTATGATTGCCAACGAGACAACTCTCCACAAGTGACCAAATGACACAGAAATTAACAACTATAGGTCATCGTACGGCCTTCAACATCCATCTGGCTGGGTTCATCTGAGTGACTTTGCCCCTATTTTTTCATGTCCAGTAAATGAGGCAAGACATTTCAGCATGTGCACATTGTTTATACATTTTAGCATTTTTGTTTTAAAAACATTTAAAATTGAAAGGCAGAAACTGAAAACAGCAATGATTATCAGCAATAAAAGATCTACAAAATGTTTAATTGTTGAAACCTTTTATTGACTACTAATACATACAATAGGAGTTATTGTCCTTATAAATATGCTTAAATGACCAATTTTAACATTTGTTGTAATTTATATTGAGTCTTATTATAGATACTAGTAGACATATACTTTAAAACAGCAAAAATGATCTCCAGTTTTTTTTTTTTGACTTACTGAATAAAAATGATGAGATGTGTTAATTGCCAATGAGACAATATTCCATCAGTTATGAAAGGGCCAGTCGACCTGAGTACTTTCCAACTTAACTAGTTGCAATTGATTTACTGTTCATAAATTCATCAAAGGTTTAATGCACATAACTATAAGTACAATTATTGTTAATGCCAAGAGTATCAGGACATAATTTGGGTGTAGCAGCTACCAAGGTAACTGTTAGCTTAAAACCCAGTCCCAAATCATGTAAATTAAATAAGTGATATAATGACTTCTATGTCATTTTGGTCTATGGTGGAGAGTTGTCTCAATCATGCCACATCTTCTTATTTTCATATTCAAACTAAGAAAAAGCTTCATAACTATATAATTGTTGGGACTAAAGCACCTATAATACATCGGTTAAAAGGGGGGTTGGGTTATTGTTTTTTTTTTCACCCCTGGAACAACAAAATTTTGATAAAAATGTATACGACTTTTTTCTCACTTCAATTCTGAAAAAAACAATGTTATCCGAGAAAGTTAGATTCAAACATTTTAACCTCCCCTAAAAAAACAACAAACAACACCATTTAAATATTTAAATCAAAAGTGCCAAATTATGGCAAAAGATTTTTTCTAGAATAATTGAAAAATAAATGTGGATAGTGTCCACATGTGGACACAGATGATGCCCCCGCTTGCATAGCATATAGTTATAAAGGGACATAACTGAAGAACGGTAAAAGTGACGCTACCCAAATTTGAACTTGATCTGAGTTTTGTGGTAATAAGCATTGTGTGTGAGTCTCATAATATTGAAGCTAACTGAAGTAGAGAACAGAAACTAAAATTTCAGCAATTTTTCTATTTGTAAACACGCATAACTCTAGTACGGTTGTGTATAAGTTTTATAACATTTGGTTGAGACAAACTAAAGTTAGAGAACGGAAACGAAAAATTCAGTAATTTTTATGTTTATAAAGGGACATAACTCAAGAATGGTAAAAGTGTTCTCACCAAATTTCGAACTGTATTATGTAGTAATAAGCATTGTGTATAAGTTTCATAACATTGGCATGGTTGAGGCAAACTAAAGTTAGAAAACGGAAACAAAAAATTTGTACTAGATCTTAGTTTTGTGGTAATAAATATTGTGTATAGGTTTCATAATGTTTGGTTGGGGCAAACTTAAGTTACAGAATGGAAACTAAAAATTTAGCAATTTTTCGATTTATTAAGGGGCATAACTCAATAATGGTTAAAGTGACACTACCCAAATTAGACTTGATCTGTGTTTTATCAGTGGAAGTCAAAATTAAACACTGCATTGTATAAAGCATTGATTGTAGTTGATTCAACTATAATCATGGACAAAGAAAGATAACTCCAATTTTAAAAATTACTTGATATTTAGAAGAAAATAAAAATTTTGCAATTATTCCATTTATAAAGAGGCATAACTCTAGAACGGTTAAAGTGACGCCACCAAAATTCAAACTTGATCTGTGTTTTGTGAGAATAAGCATAGTGTATAAGTTTCATAACATTTGGTTGAGGCAAACTTAAGTTAGAGAACGGAAACTTAAAATTTTGCATTTTTTCCTTTTATAAAGGGACATTACTCTAGAACGGTTATAGTGACGCCTCCAAAATTCAAACTTGATCTGTGTTTTGTGGTAATAAGCATTGTGTATAAGTTTCATAACATTTGGTTGAGGCAAACTTAAGTTAGAGAACGGAAACTAAAAATTTTGCAATTTTTCCATTTATAAAGGGTCATAACTCTAGAACGGTTAAAGTGACGCCACTAAAATTCAAGCTTGATCTGTGCTTTGTGGTAATAAGCATTGTGTATAAGTTTCATAACATTTGGTTGAGGCATACTCAAGTTAGAGAACGGAAACCAATTTTTGGACGTACGTACGTACAGACGGACAAGGGTAAAACTTAATGCCCCCATCGCTACGGCGGGGCCATAAATATGTTGTACAGGTATTAACAGTGAGACATACGTATATATTGTCTCGTGTACATGTAGTTGCAAGAGGCCAGTAAAAATTTTAAATCTTCAGTTCTTCAAAGAAAGAACTAGTTTTACTGAGTTAGTTAGTGAATAACACCTACACCCCTTTAATGCAATCAGTTATGTTTGCTTACATTAGATCCTGTCTAGTACCATTTTTAGGCCAAAATAGTCACTTAAGGGCAATAACTTCTAAAAGGAGTCATCAAAGGGTTTCGGATGTATTGGCATTTCTGCAGATAATGTATCAAGGGCCCTTAATTGAAACAATACATATTGTTATTTTTGTTCTTTATCACTGATCATTTTGTTTCCAATTTCTACCAATCAATTTTTTTTTCGTAATTCAAAATAGGTGGAAGATATCAACATATAATAGGCAGAAACACAATAATTAGGGTAAATTGCCATATAAAGGCAATAACTCATATAAAGAGCAATCCAATGATTTCATCAAATTTTTTTTTGTATTGTTGATAATTTTTTTCTGACTGCAGTTTCTACTTACTATTATAGTTTTTGAGAAAAAACGCAAATGCACAACAATTAGTTAAAATTGTTATTAAAGGAGTCATCTGATGACTTTGACATAATTAGCATTGACCCCAAAATCAGTATGTATCCCCCCTTATCTATATCTTCTACCTGTATATATTTTATTCCAATAGTATAAGGTATACTCAAGTTATCAATGGAAAACATTTGTTAGACACACCGAAAGATGGAAGTGCAAAGTTAAAGACAGACAAAGCAAAGTGATTACCATATGTATCCAAGTTTTTGGAGGAGCATAAACGCATTAGTGTAGGAGCAATTGCAGAAACATTTGTAGAAAAGACCAGTTCTATGTTCTGCAAAAATGAACCCCAAATGTGTTTTGGAGAAAAAAAAGAATAGCACTGTGCACTTTAAAGGCCAAAATTATATCCTTTGTTCCATGTCACAGTTAGCAATCTATGTATAACAGAAATCAAACTAGATCAAAATCTGTATTTAATTCAACATAAACAAATACAGTGACAAAACAAACTTTTGAACAGGGGGATGGTTCAAAGGTAAAATTCGGGATATTTTAATAATTCTCCAAGGAAACAGGACTAGTAACAAAGAATAAAATCGTGTCTGCAGTTCCATATACTGGGTGATAACTTATACAAAATAAATGCTACTTGCTGAAAAATCAAAATGATTGATGACTGTAATGTTACAGGTCAAGTTCAAATGTTTGTTATGATGGTATATAACACATGATCTTATCATGATACATACTCATACCAGTATCATCATTTTTCCAACAATAATAACAAAGTTTTGGCCTGGTGAAGATTACTTGCTCATAAATGTTAATTCATTTTTGCTTATTGACATTTGAGGCAAAAGTTCGATATCATATAAAGGAATTGATGGTATGCAACATTATACCTTGTGTTGACACATCTACATGCCAAATATCATAAGTGCATGTCTGATCATGACAAGCCTGTATGAAAGAAAATTTTTGATTTGAGCTTTAGGGTCAATTGTTAGTTTTGATTGAATGTGACATATTGCTGTATAGTGATACATCAACATGTCTAAAAGCAATGTCTGTATCAAAAGATACAGACTTCAAGCCAAAAAATGCATAATTTATAAAAAATATAATAAGGGCAATGACTTAATTTATGTGTGGATCCTTGTGATATCGTTGTCTTAAGATGAAGCACCCATAAGTAAAATATGAGCCTCTGTTCTGAACTGACATATTTATATGAAAAATATTTTGAAGTCAAAGGTTAAGTTCACATGTGTGTCTACATTATTTTCTGCACCCATATGGAAACTATCATGAATTAGAGAACCTTTGTGAGCACGCTAACATACCCCACAACCCTGCATTGACACTGGGCAAACAAAATCTCACCAGCTAAAGACTCAAAACTCCTACAAAAGTCAACTGATAAAAATTTCTTGTGGATATGCACATCTACATTTTATATCCTCATGAACTACAAAGTTTCATGAAATTCAGTTGTGTGATTTCAGAGGAGTTGCGCTGACAAGCTGTTGTAGTTGTATATTTAGGTCAAAATTCTTAGTTCAAAAGGGCATAACTCTTGGAAAAAACAGTGATTCATAATTTCCTGTGGCTATGCACATCTTCATAGTATGTCATAGACTCCTATTTATATACAAAGTTTCATAAAATTCTGGTTTACTGTTTCAGAGGAGCTGCGCTAACAAACTGTTGCAGTAGTATATTTAGGCCAAAATTCTAAGTTCAAACGGCCATAATTTCTTTAAAAAAAAATCATAATTTCCTGTCTAAAAACTCATCTACATAGTATGTCCTAATTATCTGCAAAGTTTCCTGAAATCTGTTGTGTGGTTTCAGAACTTTGATGAAAAACTGTTGCAGTAGTATATTTAGGCCAAAACTCTAAGTTCAAAGGGGCAAAACTCCTAGAAAAAGACAATGAATCATGATTTCATGACGATATTTACATGTATTTAGTATGTCCTTAATATCTACAAAGTTTTATCTATTTCTGTTGTGTGGTTTCAGAGGATTTGCGCTGACAAACTGTTGCAGTAGTATATTATGGCCAAAATTCTAAATTCAAAGGGGCATAACTCCTAGAAAAAAAAATTAAATCATAATTGCCTGTAGATATGCACATCAACACAGTATGACCTTATTATCTACAAATTTTCATGAAATTCTATTGTGTGGATGGACGGGTCAAAAACATAAAAACTTTGTTGAGTGGGGTTCAACTATACATCAAAAGATAAAACAGATCTAGTCCAGACACACCTGTATGGGAACAATGAAAACTTGAAGAATTCAGGGTAATACAACATGTCTCAATTCCATGAAAGGGAGGCATAGCAATAAACAAACATTGGCTATGTGTTTTAAATACAATAAAGTTATGAAGAAAAAGTCTTTAAGATGAGATCTATATTCCTACAGATTTGATGGTTGTAGAGGTTTTTGATCTCAAAGAAGGCTTGATGTGGTTTGGCATCTTTAAAAAAAGTTAGAACAACCATTGTATTTTACAATGACACACATTGGTTTAACTATGCTCTAGTCACCTTTTCTATTTTAATACAAAAAAAACAGAATAATAAATTCTGAACATTACAAAGTATTTCAGATAGATATGTTTCAGTGCAAATTGGAATTCAGTAGAATCTAGAATCCTCCTAACAGAAATTGGAATTCTGATTAATACTTATTAAAATCCAGTTCAAATCAGAATTATATCTACTAGTAAAAATTGGGATATCCAGATTTGTACTAGATGATTACTATTATTAAAAACTACACAATAAAAACAATATTTTAATTTTCTTCATTTTTATTCACACTTGTCTAAATCAAAAAGAAAAAAGGTAAGGCCAGGCCAATTTCCTATGAATTTATATATATGGTTAAACACTTCAATTTCAACAAACTTGTGAGCAATTATAACCCAAACCAGAATGTTATAGGAATCATTTTAAATATAGTCTTAGATAAACTAGAGTGCACACGCTAAAATGTCTCACCTGTTTTACTAACCATGATTGATTTTATGTTGATAGTCCTAAAGGAAATGTTTTACTACAAGTATCACATAAACTTAACATTATCAATGATCCTTGAAAATGAGGTCAAGGTCAGATAAAACCAAGCAAGACAGACATGTACACTTTACTAACATTTCATACTCTACATATGGATCTATTGCTTATAGTATTTGAAAAACAGACCAAAACTTAATAAACTGCTTCGCTGAGCGCAGCTGGATATGCCCGCAGAGGTCCAACCCTGAACAGTAGGGGCAAAAATGGACACAATATTCAAGCTTGATACAGGTCTGAATTTGGATTGTAATTAAATATTTGATATATTATAGGTTTCTGAATAAATGTAGTCAAAGAACTTGAAATTGGTTATATGAAAGATTTCTTGCTGTTGTGCAATACACTGTGCTGTTGCACAATACTTAGTAAATCTGTTGTCAGACTATATACAAATAAAATCATATATCTCGGAAACGTAAAATCGAAAATTTATAAAAATCAAAAGGGAGCTTACAAAAATAGATATAAACAATTTACCAAAGTTTCATAAAAAATGCTGAAAGCATTTTTGAGTTATTGTCTGAAAACTGGAAAATCCCCCTTTTTGTAATGAATAAAACCACATTAATCGGAAACGTATAGTCTGAAATTTATAAAAATTGAAATGGAGCTCATGTCAATAGAAATAAACAATTCACCAAAGTTTCTTACAAATTGGTGAAATTGTTTTTGAGTTATTGTCTGAAAACTGGAAAATCCCCCCTTTTTTAATGAATAAAACCCCAAAACTAGGAAACGGTAAATCCGAAATTTATAAATAACGAAAGGGAGCTCACGCCAATAGATATGAACAATTCACAAAAGTTTCATACAAGTTGGTGAAATTTTTTGGAGTTATTTTCCGAAAAACTGGAAAATCCCCCCTTTTTTAATGAATAAAACCCCAAAACTCTGAAACAGTAAATCTGAAATTTATAAAAAAACGAAACGGAGCTCACTCCAATAGATATGAACAATTCACAAAAGTTTCATGCAAATTGGTGAAATTGTTTTTGAGTTATTGTCCGAAAACTGGAAAATCCCCCCTTTATTAATGAATCAAACCCCAAAACTCGGAAATGGTAAATCTGAAATTTATACAAGAGGCTCTCAAGAGCCTGAATTGCTCACCTGTATTTCAGAGGAGAAGATTTTTAAATGTTAGCAAACTTGATGAACAAATTGTGTAAAATTGTCTTTAAAGGGCAATAACTCCTTAAGGGGTCAATTGACAATTTTGGTCAAATTAACTTTTTTGTAGATCTTACTTTGCTAAACATTATTGCTGCTTACAGTTTATATATATCTATAATGATATTCAAAATAATAACAAAAAACTGCAAAATTTTGTTAAAACTACCAATTCGGTGGCAGCAACCCAACAATGGGTTGTTCGATTCGTCTGATAATTTCAGGGCCGATAGATCTTGACCAATTAAACAATTTACCCTATGTCACATTTGCTCTAAAAGATTTAGTTTTTGAGATATAAGCCAAAAACTGCATTTGACCCTTATGTTCTATTTTTAGCCATGGCAGCCATGTTTGTCGATGGGTACAAACTTCGGATACAATTTATAAACAAGATACCCTAAGGAACATTTAGTTAAAGTTTGAAGGTAATTGGCCCAGTAGTTTCAGAGGAGAAGATTTTTAAATGTTAGCAAACTTGATGAACAAATTGTGTAAAATTGTCTTTAAAGGGCAATAACTCCTTAACGGGTCAATTGAAAATTATGGTCACATTAACTTTTTTGTAGATCTTACTTTGCTGAACATTATTGCTGCTTACAGTTTATATATATCTATAATAATATTCAAAATAATAACAAAAAACTGCAAAATTTTGTTAAAACTACCAATTCGGTGGCAGCAACCCAACAATGGATTGTTCGATTCGTCTGAAAATATCAGAGCTGATAGATCTTGACCAATTGAACAATTTTACCCCATGTCAGATTTGCTCTAAAAGCTTTAGTTTTTGAGATATAAGCCAAAAACTGCATTTGACCCCTATGTTCTATTTTTAGCCATGGCGGCCATGTTTGTCGATGGATCAAAATTTCCGATACAATTTATAAACTAGATACCCTAAGGAACCCAGTGTCTCGCCTACTTTTGCTGTTAGTCACAGGCTCAACAAAAATGGGGAAAAAATTATTAAAAATTTTCCTCTAGATACTATCTGTTGATTGTAAGAAGTGTTCAAGTTTGGTAAAAATCCAAGAAGGTTTATGAATCTAATAAATGTTTTAAAAACTTTAACTGCAGACTGTACATAATGTTAACTGGAATAAGACTAAGTCCATTTATAAGTAATATACGGAAAAACAGGAAATAAATTTTTACAAAATTTCCTTCTAGATACTAGCTTTTGATCATAAACAAGCTTCTGTCCAAGTTTGGTACAAATCCAGTATAGTTTAAGAAAGTTATTAAAATTTTGAAAGCTTTAACCACAGAGTGAATTTAATGTTAACTGACAGAAAAACTAAGTCCATTTATAAGTAAAATATGGATAAACAGGATTTTTTTTTTACCAAATTTACTTTTGAATACTATCTTATGATCACAAACAAGCTTCTGTCCAAGTGTGGTACAAACCCAGGATATTTTAAGAAAGTTTGGTACAAATCTAGGATAGTTTAAGAAAGTTATTAAAATTTGAAAAAACTTTAACCACAGAGTGAATGTATTGTTAACTGGCAGAAAAACTAAGTCCATTTATGAGTAAAATACGGATAAACAGGATTTTATTTTTTACAAAATTTACTTCTGGATACTATCTTATGATCATAAACAAGCTTCTGTCCAAGTTTGGTTGAAATGCAGGATAGTTTAAGAAAGTTATTAAAATTTGAAAAACTTTAACCACAGAGTGAATATTTGTGGACGACGACGCCGACGGAATGTAGGATCGCTATGTCTCGCTTTTGCGACAAAAGTCGCAGGCTCGACAAAAAGGACCAGTGTTCAACATGTACTATCTATTATGAGAAGAAACAAAGAGGTGAAATTACAAAGGAAGACGAAGAACAATTTCAAGAACACCAAACGAAGAAAGAGAAATCAAGAGAGGAAAAAAGACTCGACAAGGAAAGAGCAAAGACAGATAGATCTTTCGCTGCAGTTACCTTCGACTTGGAGGCAGTGCTACCAACACCTTGTAGCATGGTTGGGGATCTTTTTTATAAAAGACGTCTGTCAACATACAACCTGTCATTTTATTCACTTGGGTATAGTAAAGGCACATGTTTTTTGTGGGACCAGACGAATGGCGGAAGGGATTCAAGTGACATTGGATCTTGCATACTAATGCACATCAACTCAATAGCGGAAAAAAAATACCGCTGTTTAAGAAATTACATACTTTTCAGATACTTGTGGTGGTCAAAACAGGAACCAGTTTGTGGCCTCTGCATTGCTGTATGCCTTACATTTTCATTCAAACTTAAAAGCAATTAATCACAAGTTTTTTGAAAGGGGTCATTCGGATATGGAAGCCGACTCCATACACTCGTCAGTGGAGAGAGCAAAAAAAAGTACAAAGGTAAACCATCCGTCACAGTGGGACACTGTCATGTCAATGGCGAGGAAGAGAAATCCTTATATAGTTATTCCAGTAAACTATAGAGATTTTTATGACCTAAAAGGCTTAAAAACCGACTTTAACATCAATTTGAAAAGAACAGTTTCGGGAGAAACAATAAATTGGCTGAAAGTCAAGTGGATTCGGGTAACGAAAGAAAATCCAGGAAGTGTATTTTTTAACAACGGCTTTGATCCTGAGAATTTTATGGAAGCTAAGTTCCAGTCAAGTAGTTTAAGAGGAAGAAAAAAAGAAGACTGAAAATATTAAACTGTCACCTTTGTATGAGTCTAAACTACAAATTTCTGCTGCAAAGAAAGCAGATCTCCTATCATTGTGCAAGAGCGGGGTTATCCCAACTACATATCACTCGTACTATGAAAGTCTTCCGGTTGGAAAATTAGTGAAGGACATCTTGCCAGAGCCAGACATTACAGAAGAAGATTTAATAGACAACATTTAATTCAAATCAAAAGTTTAATGTTGTATCCTTGTAACAAATGATAAATCATGTTCTATTCAGTTTTGTTTTTAATTACAAAAAGCCGACTGACAAAAGGTACCAGAAAAAAATCTCTGAATGCTCAGACTATTGTCAGGTCAATGTCATACAAAATCTAAATAAAAAATCAACATTATTCATCAAATTTAACTGACAAAACTATACTGTTAAAATCTTAAATGAAATACAGAATAAACCAAACACAATATTTAATTATATTCACTTTTTTTTGCTTGTACTGACTGTAGAATAGGGCATATTTTATTACAAATTAGTGAAACACTTCCGTCAGTATAAATATAATCCAAAAAATTGTCAAAAACCTAACTTAAGCAATAATAGATTGATCATATTTAAAACACTTACATGATTAAACAGAAAAAATGTTGAGCAAAAAGGTGCTATATGGCAGATAGCACCTTTTTGCTCTAAATTTTTGTCACCTTTGTCAATAGCAAAAAGGGGCTATCTGCATTGACCTACTTTTATCCTATTTATACTTACTTAATCATTCCAAACTTTTGACAAATTACACACACCAACATTATCTCATATTTGACCAATTTATAGATCATATAAATGACAAACTGATTTTTGATAATTTGATAAACCTTTAAACTCGACTTTCTCAAAACTATGAAATATGCAGATAACACCTTTTAGCTCTGAACCCTCGAATTGTAACAGGATGCTGTTACGAAGTCTCCCAAACAAAGCTCCAATAATTCGTCATTCCCATGGTCACCTGACATTGGCCAAAGTCCAGTACAAATTGGTTTGTGATATGCACAAGTGACGCCTATGGATTGACCCTGTATGTCATTCAAATCTTCTTGAAATGACGAACAGGAATATATATGGCTGTTTAGGGGTGGAGATCTCGACCGTTTACAAGTTCTCAAAAGGGGGGGTGTGATCCCCAGTGGACTCCCCCTAAATTTCATATGATTTGTTTTTTTGTCCCATACAAGAATATATATGGTTTAGGGGTGGGGATCGCGACCGTTTACAAGTTCTTAAACAGGAGGGGATGGAGGTGACCCTAGGGGACTCGCATTTCATTTGATTTATTTTATTGTCCCATACAAGAATATATATGGTTTCGGGGTGGGGATCTTGACCGTTTACAAGTTATCAAAAAGAAGGGGGTGGGGGTTTCCCCGGGGAACTTCCCCTAAATTTCATTTGATTTGTTTAATTGTCCCATACAAGAATATATATGGTTTAGGGGTGGGGATCTCGACTGTTTACAAGTTTTCAAAAAGAAGGGGGGTGGGGGTTACCCCCATGGACTACCCCTATATTTCATTTGATTTGTTTTATTTTATTGTCCCATACAAGAATATATATGGTTTCTGGGTGGGGATCTTGACCATTAACAAGTTATCAAAAAGAAGGGGGATGGGGGTTACCCTGATGGACTTCTCCTATATTTCATTTGATTTGTTTTATTGTCCCATACAAGAATATATATGGTTTAGGGATGGGGATCTCGACCGTTTACAAGTTCTTAAACAGGAGGGGGTGGGGTTAACCCCAGGGGACTCGCCTTTTATTTCATTTGATTTGTTTTATTGTCCCATACAAGAATATATATGGTTTCCCGGTGGGATCATTGACCGTTTACAAGTATACAAATAGAAGGGGTGTGGGGATGACCTCTCTGGACTTCCCCTATATTTCATTTGATTCGTTTTATTGTCCCATACAAGAATATATATGGTTTAGGGTGGGGATCTCAACCATTTACAAGTTCTCAGACAGAAGGGGGTGGGGTTGACCCCAGGGGACTTGTCTTTTATTTAATTTGATTTGTTTTATTGTCCCATGCAAGAATATATATGGTTTAGGGGTGGGGATCTCGACCGTTTACAAGATAAAAGCACATTCTCAAATTGAAGGGGGGTGGGGGTAAGAATATACAAGATTTAGGGAGACTTAATTATCTACAAAATGTCTAATAATTAACAGTAAATTTCAAACTTCATTTATACAGTCCTTCTAGTAAATTTCAAACTTTATATATACAGTCCTACAGATCTTATCTATCAGGAAACAGAAACTTTTCAAATAAATCTGTCACTTCAATGATTATCATATGCTAAGATATTTCCCAGATCTAATTAATAATAAAAAAAATTAAATTATTATCATATGCTAAAATGTTTCCCAGATCTAACTGAACAGAACTATGGTTTAACATAGTACTCTAACATTACATATATAATAATTAATAATGTAATAATCTTCAAAATGTCTAATGATATAGCTTATAATCATTACCACTTAGGAAATAGATAATTTTCAAATAAATCTGTCACTCCAATTTTTATTGTGAGATAAGACAAATCATAACATGATAACAAGAGTAAAATATTTAAAAATTCCACTTTTGGATATTAAAAATGGCGATAACTCACAAATTAAAGGAGATATACTAAAATCTTGAAAATTGAACGAGACCTTCATTAAGTCCCAGGAAACAACATATTTAAATTTGAAAAAAATTTGGTAAAGCGTTTTCATGTTATTGTGCTGACACTGTTTGGCAGCCACCCGTCAGCCCGCCCAGCTGCCCGCCGTACATCCCCATTTTAATAACCGATATTTCTTTCGAAAATCCAGTTAAAAACTGAACACTGATCAATGAACCATGAAAATGAGGTCAACCTTCCAGACTGACATGTAACCCTTACAATCATTCCATATACCACATATAGTTGACCTACTACTTGTAGCATCTGAGAAACAGACCTAATCACGTAACTTTAACCTTGATCACTGATCCATGAAATGAGGTCCAGGTCAAGTGAACTCTTTCCGATGAACATCAAGGAACACATATACCAAATATAGTTATCCTACTACTCATTATAAGTAAGAAATTTACATGAAAAATTTTTTTTTTCAAGTGGTCGCTGATTCATGGAAATGAGGTAAAAAACAATGGACATATGACAGAAGGAAACTTTGTAATATGTGACCAGCCATGAGATTTTCAGGCTTATGGAGGTACCCAGGTCAAAATGTTTTTTTTTTGCATTTTTATGAAGTATACATAGATTCAAAACACCCTGACAAGTTAATTTGCTAGATTCTGCAAAATAACAGAATTATAGTCATTTTTTTTGTTTTTTTTTTTTTTTGGGGGGGGGTTCCTTGTTTTTTAATTGTAGCTTTTATAACTTAATAAATAATGAATTTTTATTTCTATATTAACCATTCAGTTGCCATAGCAGTTGATAATACACTTAATTGACTTTGTCATTGTGAAACCATTTCTATTAGTTACTTATAGTGAAAAAATATTTTGTTTATAAAAAAGTATGACCTGAGTGATTCCCCTTGACGAAAACCTACCGCTCAAAACTGCTCCAGGAAAGGTAATAAGTTGATGCATCATTTACAATTTTCCAGTACTTTATATTTTGAAATAACATATCGCAATGGTGATATGATTTAACCATTTTGTATAACCGAAAACATATTAATGATGCAGGAGAAAGTGATTTACACAATGAAATCTATAGTTTTTAGTAATATCCTTGATACTACTAGAATTTATTACAATCCAGAATCCCCAAAGTACAAATCTTAATTTTCCATTTTCTACCAGTAAATATTGGAATTCCAATTTCTACTAGGAGGATACTGGATACTACTGAGTTCCAGTTTGTACTGTAACATATACATATATCATATTTCTATATCACACCAAAAATAATCTAATGATTCGTTAGAAATGTGCACTCTAAAATATACTGGCAAGATGGAGGTAAATTACAGACTGCCTTTCTCTTGTCAAAAGATAAAACGGACTCAACTTTTTGTCATAAATATCCTTTTTCAGTAAAATGTTTGTTACAAATTAATTTAACTTTTTCATAAACACCTAGGAATATAGCACCACCTATAGATATCCATATTACTCTTGGAATGATCCCAGCAAATAATCTGAAAAGAAAAAAATTCAAACAAAATAATTTCCTAATTGCAACTAGAATAATTACAAACTAGTGCCACTTTTTAAATCATCATTAAAGGAGAAAAACAGTATTAAGAGTATTTTAGTCATGTTGACATATTTGTGATTCGCTGATCATTTTTCTTTTTTAAAGTTTCTATTTATCTTTTATAATTTTCAGGATAATAGACATAAAACGCAACTAGAGGCTCTAAAGAGCCTGTGTCGCTCACCTTGGTCTATGTGCATATTAAACAAAGGACACAGATGGATTCATGACAAAATTGTGTTTTGGTGATGGTGATGTGTTTTGGTGATGGTGATGTGTTTGTAGATCTTACTTTACTGAACATTCTTGCTCCTTACTATTATCTCTATCTATAATGAACTTGGCCCGGTAGTTACAGTGGAAAATACTTTGTAAAAATTTACAAAAATTTACAAAATTTATGAAAATTGTAAAAAATTGACTATAAAGGGCAATAACTCCTTTAGGGGTCAATTGACAATTTTGGTCATGTTGCCTTATTTGTAGATCTAACTTTGCTGTACATTATTGCTGTTTACAGTTTATCTCTATCTATAATAATATTCAAGATAATAACCAAAAGCTGCAAAATTTTCTTAAAATTACCAATTCAGGGGCAGCAACCCAACAATGTGTTGCCTGATTAGTCTGAAAATTTCAGGGCAGATAGATCTTGACCTAATGAACAATTTTACCCCCATGTCAGATTTGCTCTAAATGCTTTGGTTTCAGAGATATGAGCCAAAAACTGCATTTTACCCTAAGTACTATTTTTTAGCCATGTCGGCCATCTTGGTTCGCGGGCGGGGTCATCAGAGACATTTTTTAAACAAGATACCCTAATGATGATTGTGGACAAGTTTGGTTAAATTTGTCTTAGTAGTTTCAGAGGAAAAGATTTTTGTAAAAGATTACAAAAATTTACGAAAAATGGTTAAAAATTGACTATAAAGGGCAATAACTCCTTACGGGGTCAACTGACCATTTTGGTCAAGTTGACTTATTTGTAGATCTTACTTTGCTTAACATTATTGCTGTTTACAGTTTATCTCTATCTATAATAATATTCAAGATAATAACCAAAAGCTGCAAAATTTTCTTAAAATTACCAATTCAGGGGCAGCAACCCAACAATGTGTTGCCTGATTGGTCTGAAAATTTCAGGGCAGATAGATCTTGACCTAATGAACAATTTTACCCCCATGTCAGATTTGCTCTAAATGCTTTGGTTTCAGAGATATGAGCCAAAAACTGCATTTTACCATATGTACTATTTTTTAGCCATGTCGGCCATCTTGGTTCGCGGGCGGGGTCATCGGACACATTTTTTAAACAAGATACCCTAATGATGATTGCGGACAAGTTTGGTTAAATTTGTCCTGGTAGTTTCAGAGGAGAAGATTTTTGTAAAAGATTACAAAAATTACGAAAAATGGTTAAAAATTGACTATAAAGGACAATAACTCCTTAAGGGGTCAACTGACCATTTTGGTCAAGTTGACTTATTTGTAGATCTTACTTTGCTGAACATTATTGCTGTTTACAGTTTATCTCTATCTATAATAATATTCAAGATAATAACCAAAAGCTGCAAAATTTTCTTAAAATTACCAATTCAGGGGCAGCAACCCAACAATGTGTTGCCTGATTGGTCTGAAAATTTCAGGGCAGATAGATCTTGACCTGATAAACAATTTTACCCCATGTCAGATTTGCTCTAAATGCTTTGGTTTCAGAGATATAAGCCAAAATCTACATTTTACCCCTATGTTCTATTTTTAGCCATGGCGGCCATCTTGGTTGGTTGGCGGGGTCATCGGACAAATTTTTTAAACTAGATACCCTAATGATGATTGTGGCCAAGTTTGGTCAAATTTGGCCCAGTAGTTTCAGAGGAGAAGATTTTTGTAAAAGTTTACGGACGACGGATGACGGACGACGGACGCAAAGTGATGAGAAAAGCTCACTTGACCTTTCAGGTCAGGTGAGCTAAAAAAAAGGGTAAAATGATAATATAATGGTAATAACCTGATGTTCAGTGGTTGTCGTTCGTTGATGTGGTTCATAAGTATTTCTCGTTTCTCGTTTTTTATATAGATTAGACCGTTGGTTTTCCTGTTTGAATGGTTTTACACTTGTCATTTTTGGGGCCCTTTATAGCTTGCTGTTCGAAGTGAGCCAAGGCTCCGTGTTGAAGGCCATACTTTGACCTATAATGGTTTTCTTTTACAATTTGTGACTTGGATGGAGAGTTGTCTCATTGGCACTCATACCACATCTTCTTATATCTAATAACTCCAATAAAGAATTGACTGAAGATTTCAAGCATGATGACTTATTTGTAGATCTTGTCTTGCTGATCATTTTTGCCTTTTCAAGTTTCTATCTATCTATTATAGTTTTCAAGATCATAGACAAAAATGAAAATTAGGAAAAAATGGCTGATCATTTTTGCTTTTTAAGGCGAAGTATATGTAATTGCACACCACTAGTGGAATTTGGGTAAAAATAGGTAAACAAATGAGAAATGACTTCATGCAATCTATCAAGAATCCAAACAAGTATGCGTGTGCTGTCTCAAAACTTCAAAAAAATTATCAGAATGACTCCAATCAGAAATCTGAGTATCCTAATGTTAGTTAGCCCGACTCTATTAACACTTTTTGTTTTAGACAAACAGGAGAGGGTAGATAATATGACTCGTGTATACAAACAGAAAGTAAAAACGCCTAACAACAAAATTATAACCAAATAAACAAATAAACCAGTGACAATTCTGCTTCTATTTGTACCAAATTGATTACAATCAAACCAAAATGGACCCCACAATAATTTTTTTAAAAACAGTAGCTTTCGAACTAAAAACACACAGTAGTCTACGAACAATTATATGAAGTGAATTTGTGTGTTGAGCTAGAAAGACGTTGGCATGTTCATTTTTTATGCAATTGAAAATTTTAGGACATAATCTATATTTATATAAAAGGTAAGAAGATACCAATCAAGGGGGTAATCGACCACTACTGAGTCCAACATTTACAAGTTGAGGAACAAAGACAACAAAAACAAAAAAACCAGCAGATTCAGTTCACAAAAGATTACAGAAACTAAGAATTGAGCACTCTAACATTTATCTCAGAACATGCAGAATAAGTAAAAACTATGTCATTCAACTCTCAGTTTTCAACTTTATCCTTAGGTGCAGAAATAAACCCAGGTGTCTTCTATTCCGTCCCCATTTTTTGGGGAAAGTAAAAGCTAAATTTAGAACCATGGTTGAAACTGAAACTTCACATACATGTGTGATAAAAATAGAACAGGTTATTTCTTCTTGATAAATTCCAATTTCGAAGGGATAGCGAAATTTGTTATCTTTTTATTGTGCTTTTGTGCATCATTCAGAAGTAGTAACTACAATTTTGAGGTAAAAGTTTTCTTCTCAAGTCTCAATTCTAGATTATGACTGAATACAGTATAAGTAAGGTAAGGGGGGTTTAAGAAAATAATATGACACTTGTAACTACAATTTAATATTTGGTGGAATGAGAAGTAAAATAAGTTAAAACTCTTACATTTTGATAGCATTTTAAAGACTGATTGTTTTAAAATTTAAAACCAATTTTATCCAATTTTCATAAACTCTGCAGAAATACTACCAAATCTACTACAAGGGATGTTTAAAGAATCCATGAGGATCTGGCATGGTCAGCTCTATTTTATCACCGCGTTCAAAATTTCACAACAAGCATTTAGGAGCCGGTGGTTCAGTGGTTGTCGTTGGGTCATGTCTGTAATATTTGTTTTTCGTAAAATGTTTTGTTATAAACTAGGCTGTTGGTTTTCTCGTTTGAGTTGTTTCACATTTTTTATGTCAGGGCCTTTTAAAGCGGACTATGCATTATGGTTTTTCTCTTACATCCACTTCCTTTAAACTCTGGGGTGTAGTTGTCTCATTGGCTATCATACCACATCTCCTTATTTTTATGTTATATTATTAATAAAGCAATTCATTTGCATTATATACAGGCAAAATTCGTATGGCACTACACTAGGTACATTCTTATAAATTACATTAGGTACATTTTTTTAACATCATACTGGATACATTCCCATAACATCGACCTTGGTATATTTTCCTAACATTGCAACAGTACATTTATAGCATTACACTATACACAATGCTTTAGCATTACACTATGCACAATGATATAGCATTACACTATACACAATGCTATGGCATAACACTGGGAATGATCCTGTAGTAAATGCACAAGGTGCAACGATCTTAAAGTATTATTAGGTGTATGTTTTCGTCTTGAATATGCATAAAATATGTGCTACAGGAAGTTATACCAAAAACTTCGATCTGTTCTACTTTGTTTAAACTTATATGCGGGTTCTTCTTTTTACCTTGTAACAGCCATAAAAATTCTCAAGATAATATGAAGATGCAGTTTTCATATTTTTTTTTACAAATACATGAAATAATGGTATTAGAAATATTTTTCTGTGATACTGAAACTCCATTTAGCCAGCAAACATTATATCATGATTTGCCATGTAGTTGAAAATAAAAGGGAAAGTGATTGGACAGTAAATTTTGTAAAAATAAATGGGGAATGTGTCCATGGGAAATGCGTTATGTCCCCTCCGCTACAGCTTATAGTATAAGTTTTATAAAAATCTGGCAAGAATTGTACCCGTGAGCGCTAACGAGGCCATTTTCCATAAATTTAATATTTCCAAGGGGCATAACTCTTTTAAAAAAAGTCGATCAGCCACCATTATATATTATTAATATTAACCTATAGTATAAGTTTTGTAAAAATCTGGCAAGAATTGTACCTGTGAGAGCGCTAACAAGACCGGACGGACGGAAACACGGACAGACGGACGCCCAGTATTTCCATGTCCTCCGCAATGCATTCAGCGGGGAACAACAAAATAGAAAATCTTAATAAT